ATAACTTCTTTTACAGTATTGTATTCAAATTTCTAAGTATTTTCTGTGATACTGGATTTAAATGTACTTTAATATAATCGTTAATACGATATTTATTATGTACAACTGGTACAGGTTTCTCGGGATTCTTTTTGAAAGTATTCCTACGGAAATATTTCGTACGGAAGCATTCCTACGGAAACCTTTCGGACGGAATCATTCCTACGGAAACCTTTCGAACGCTAAGACGATGTAAGGTAATCAATAATCCATATGGAAAAAGGAAAGTAACATGTAACTACAAGAACAGAAATGTATGAAATAATAAATAACGTTAAAAATAATGAGTGTAATAAATACATTAAAAATAAAGTTAGAAGCCTAAAATAGCAGTAAAAATAACATTATTTAATTAAAGTAAAATGTTATTATTAATAACATTATTAAGAGTTAAAAATAACATACATATCAACAAAATGAATATAACTGGTGTAGCCTTACCTAAGAAAACTGAAAAGGAAGCGATCATATTGGAAACTGCAAATAAGAGTAATGATGTGTTGTATCGTCAGCATTTCGATGGTTTTGACATAAGGGGTTTAGTGCAGTACAGAGATGACAAAGTCTATTACTACCTCATAGACTTTATATTTGTTCAGATCTCTGTATCTGCTCTTCATTATGCCTACTTATATGTGGAAATCGAATTTTTTTGCTCTCTGGCTGATAAGGAAATGTTTGAAGCTTGATTTTTAACATCGACACATTTGTCCCTGTTATTCAGTTTTTCATAGACATTCAAAGCATATTGTAAAAAACTACTCTACATACGTAAGCCATATTGTAATTAGTCCTATTTCTAATCAATATTTGCAAAAAATAGGAGCTGGAACATATTTTCGCTTTTCATCTTTTCCCGTAAAATTGAAAGCATTTTATGGAATATTTTATTTTTGATAATACGTTTTAGATTTTTTGTAAAGGATAAATTTCGTAAAGAGAACATTAAAAAACAGAGGACATTTGTATAAGTAAACGGTTGCACACTCAGCGCGTATTCAAAAGGTCCAGGTTTGAGTCCCGGCATGAGCATTGCTCATATTTCACCACTCCCACATAAAAATTAAAATTAAAATTAAGAAAAAATCCTGATGTCTCTACAGTGGCGTCCGAATTAAAAGGTGGTGGACAACAATTCATCATACTCCATGATTTGGCGATTGGATCCCCTAATCTCCGGTGGCCCTTTAAAAGGGGGGTATATAAGGTATTTCCTCCCTCCTTCCAGCATGCCTTCGTGGTGTAGTGGTCAGCACACTCGGCGCGTAATCGAGAGGTTCAGGTTCGAGTCCGGGCGAGGGCATTGCTCATTTTTCATTTCTCCTGCTTTAAAATAACCTAATGACTCAAGTTTACGGCTTTTATCGGATCGCATTAAAAAAAGTGCTTAGAAATCTGAATATATACAGAACTGAAGAGGGAAAATATAATAAATATATAAATAAATATTATGGAATAAAATAAACTTACTTTACGAAGACTCATTTTAAAACTAGAGAGATGAAATGTTTCCTTCCATTTCACTAAAAGTAAATAAATAAATAAATAAAATAAAATGAAAAAATAAAAACGTATTTGATCAATTTGTCATAAAACATTTCTTTTCTTTCCAATATCGAAATAAATTGTCTTTTCCTAAACATCATTACATATTTGCTGTTCATTTCTTTGCATCTCAGTTTCTTCAAAATTTTCTCAGCTCGGTTTCATACATTCCTTTTGCTGTAAAACTGAATTCTAATTTCAAACTTCGACTCTATCCTGATCGACATGTCATATATTTATAACACTATTCACTTACAAAATACTCTTTCTCATTCGCAGAAGTTCAAGAAAATCCACCATAAAAGCTTATTCTACATTAACTGCCTTGCGACATAATTCACTTAAATACAAAGAGGCTCCCACAATAAGTCTCTCGACTCATGCCACTATCGTCTTTCGTTAGTTTGACTTATGTGCATTGAAAAAAATGGTGATAGGATACGGATATTAGAAAGCGTGATTTTCAGCGCCGGCGTCAGTCGCCACCCGACCCTTCTGTGAGATAAGGTAGGCACATTTATTTATTTAATATATATATTTTTATAACCTTCTAGGTGGGCTTGGCTCTGGCTTTTATATTAATATCGCTACTGCAGTCATTTTTTCTTACATAAATTTTGTCTATAGCTGACCGCTCACTGATAAGAGTGGAATTCACTTAAAGAGTGACCTTTTTCTGAGATGGATCATTCAGTCAATCACTTCCTTTTTTCTTACATTGCGATATTATGTCATTACCGATTAACATCAAAAATCTTTGCGATAAACTCTCCTGTAATTCGGTTTATATAAATAAAATGGCTAAAATTTTATATCCAGGTGCAAAAGCCACATGACCTTTGCAAGCCCTTGCTCTTTTAAGAAATATATTTTTCCATTTTTTAATATGTTGGTAATTTAAATTTATAAAAAGTTATGAATTTCTTTTTAAATGAATTGCACTCTTACATATTTGCACGCACATATATATTGATTACATTTGCAACTATACCTTTTTAAAAGTTTCCATTTTCAACTCAGTCTCGATTCATTTTTTCATTTAAAAAAACGTTTCAAGATTCATTTTTTAAAAATGCTTTTAAGTTACTTCATTTCAGTAGAATTCTAACTACCTTTATCACAGGAGATAATGTACTTAAATATATTCAGGTGTATAACACGCACTTTTAATACAAAAAATAAGAAAAATCGGAATTTACGGGTGCAAGCGATATGTCGGATATAAAATGATAAGATTAAAATAAAGGAGTAGGTGATCATAAAAATTTAATTTTTACATGCACCTAAATGCTGTTTATTTAAACGAAATGACATATCTTATGAAATTAAAAATTTTTATTATCAGATAACATGAAAAGTTCGTCAAATTCGCCTTCCGTTTGACGTTCGGGCGCTTCATCGAATTTTATTTCATCTTCACCATCATCTGATCCATAAATAAAAAATATCTTCCGTTCCTTCTAAATTGTTAAATATACCACATTTTTCAATCATTTTTCAATTATCTAGGGTTTAATCTCATTCCATGCTTTTATTATCCACTCATACACTATTTCTTGACTGGCACGACGCATTTGGTCTCCTTTTGTAAATGCTTTATCCCCATCTAACATCCACGTATTTCGTAGCCAATTTAAATTTTCTTTGAATGGTTATCGTTACGCATATATAAAGGGTGAACTAATGGTCTTAATTTGCCTGGAATAACTGCCATGTCTGTATTATATTCTTTTAAAGATTTCTTCGTATAGTCGGTTAGATGGGAGCTGAACATGTCCAGACTTTCCAGGTTCTGTGAGGTAAGGGGACGCTTTTGTCAAATATTTCTTATGCGCCATAGAACTACGGTAAGGCGAGATTTTTCGTGACCTGTTGCTTTTATGTGAACCGCATATGTTCCTTTCACATCAATTGTTTTATTTTCTATCATATCAGGCATTACTGGATGTTTTATCCATATTTCCAGAATTTGACAGCAAATATAATTTTTTACCTTCGTAGATCAATAACATACTTCTGGAAACTTATGCCGAACTTTTGCCGAAATCTTTCGAAAACCTTTGTAAGACTTTGGTTTTTTCTGGTAGAACTAAATTATTCCGTGTCATATATTGACTACACAAACTCAAAGTTATTTAAAAATTTTTCACTTTCATTTGCATTCAGTTTTTCCCAATTTACGGCAAATAATCTCCCGCTGTTTCCTGTTACAATTAATCCATTCTGGCTGTTTTCCTAGACCTAGTTCTCAAACACTTTCTTCTAGTGTAGGCCATTTCGTTGTTTCTTCACGCAAAATGTATTTATTCTTCGGCATATTAATTATTTTGATTTCATTTTCTTCTATTCACATATGGAGCTTTCATCAACACCAGATATCCTAGTTGCAGGGCTATTTATTTACAAAAAAAAAAAAAAAAATATTAGTGAAAGGAATTAAATGCACAGATCAAATAAGTATATTACAATGAAAATGTAACTTCAATAATTTTTTGAAAAGCATCAATCCAGACAATCGTAAGATTTCGGTAATTTCTGCTTTTGCAGTTTAGTAATGCACAATCCTTTAATAACATCGAATCATTTTCATTTTCTTATTATAATTAAAAGCAGGGCTTGATTTTTAAAATTAGAAGTGCCGGAGCCTTATGGGAAGACCGTCAGCAAAGAGGAACATAAGTAAATAAATAAATAAAACGACTATTAAAATCATTAATTAAAAATTAAGTAATTAATTATTACGGAACCAATTAATTATTGTTTAATTAGTATTGATAATTAATATATGTCAGTTATTATTTAATTAATGATTATATTTAATTAATTAAAGTTAATATAGTTAAATTATTAAAGTAATTAAATAATTAAAATAAAATAAAATGTAAAGAGATAAATTTAAATTTATTAAAGCGACTTGTAATACAGTTTTATTGTAAAAAATAAAATTTTCGAGATCAAGTTTTTACTGAAATTGTTGTTCAGTTACGTGAAAGAAGCGCCAGAGCCTTCTTATTTAGGGCTCCGGTGTAATTATAGCTCTGATTAAAAGTAACAGAAGCATTAGATAATTCCTCACACAAGAATTATTTTTACAACAATAAAACAAATAATTACGTTATTGGATATTACCTGACTTAAATATGGAATAAAAAATAAGTAAAATGATATATCTATTTTAGCTAAGCATCTGAATGAGAATAAAACTCTTTTAACATCATAAACAGTTATTTAAAACAAACAGATTTTAAAATGTATTTTTGAAAACCCGTAACCCGTAATTATTAGTAAACAGGTTTCAAAATAAAATGTGATTTACATAATCAAAAAGTAAAAAGTAATTTACATAATTATTCGTTTGACTTAAATTGTCGATTAAATCTGATTTATAGCTTTACTTTCGTTTTATTTTATGTTAGATTTTGACGATATTTGAAGTAGACTCCACTTAGCGAAAAACTGAAAAAAGCTCAAGAAGACAACAGAGAGATCATCACGTGATTGAGGTGAGGAAAGATAGAGATACAAGCCATAATAGTCGGAGAAGCTGAGAACATAATTGGACCCTACTGGCTTTTCGCTGATCTCTGTGGTTCTAAGGGGGATGAATCATCGAAAGAAGAAAACAAGATGAATCTCCAGCATTTTATCTTTCGTATATATCTTCTGTGTTCCTACTGACCACAATTTTTCTTGATATATTTCTCTTTTTTTACTTCGTTACTTCATGTTTCACGTCTTAATGTGCTGCATTTTTAAGGCGAGGCACATAATGGGTGAAATTTCAGTTAAGATCTCATAAATTATTTAGGCTATTTGCTTATATTTTACGAAAACTGAAACTGTAAATGCTTCGAGGGAAATAAAATGAAATTAAAAATAAGAAATATATAAAACGTTGATTGATCTTTAGAGCATTTTTATATCTATTTTTTAATCAGATATTTCACTGATTCATAACTCAACAAGTAACTTGTTTTCTGCTTTTTATCAAGTTTACGTACATGTAGACATGAAGAATCTGTTGCGTTTACAGCATTGAAGTAAATTTGAAAGCTGTTACGAAGAGTATACGTTTTGATATGTAAATGTTTCTATGAAAATGATCTGAATTTCTCATTATTTGTAAAGATATTTCTCAAATCTGATTACCTTTAACTAAAGGTCTTAAAACTAGTATTCGTGAAAAAAAAAAAAAAAAAAAAATTCCAAATTTGGGATTTCAGATGCCCATATTCGCATTAGGATTTCGCATTCAAAATTCGATGGCTCTATGTACCATTGTTTTATCACAATGCGAGAAATAGACAATCATTTATGCAGATTTTTCATTATTTAATTTCTTCAAATATAATGCAGGACTCTAATATTTTGTGGCAACAGTTTGAAAAGTGAACCGACGTTTATAAGAGTCCGACGCAAAATCGCAAAACGAAAACAATAGTCCTTCAGGAACAAAGCCCCTTTGGACTAATAAAATCGTTATACTTCTTACAAAATATAAGAAAAGCAGGCAGAAAATTCGGATCGCCTAAACTTCACTGAAGGTGAAAACCAGTCACGTGTCTTTTGTAAAATGTACTTTCTTGTCTTTATTGTGGATGAATAAACAAACCATCTCTATCAAAATCAAAAGAAATAGATAACGCGAAACAATTATGATTTTATTCATAGTGTTAAAAATATCGTAAATAATGACGTTAAAATACTTCAGCTTCCCAACCAGTATAGTGGTTAGCGAAGCTGAGTGCCATACCAAAGGGAAAGGGTTCGAATCTCGAGTGTGTGTGCGGCATGGGGGCCTTCTAAATATGCCACGAGACGAAAGTCTTATACAAAGGCTGGTGGTAAAGAAAGAGAGGTGGAACTTGTTTGTCCCCTCTCAAATTTGGGGGCAGAACTGAGGTAGAATCGGGCTTTCATTTAATTTCCGTTAACGAAGATGTGGAGGTAATTGCATTTAATTGTAAAGGTACTCCGTAATCAAAATGCTTTGGTCCTTGGTCCTACAGGGTGCTCAAGGTTCTTACCAAGCGCATTTGACCCCTTGCGCTTCGTAAGACTCCTTGTCGTTTGACTCCTTGCCACGATGAATGTCATGGCAAGGAGTAATTACTATATTTGAATATATTATTATCATCAGCAATTTATTTAACATGCATAACAGATTTGTATCCTTAAACTAAAATACGCAATAATCACGGGAAAGCTTACGGGTGGCGTAAAATAAAATACTTGGCTTTTCTGTCGGTGAAAGGAAGCTTTTCCTAATACAGTCTTCATAAAGCTTTGTCTTTATTTAAATTAACCGAAATCGTAGGAATTCATCAAATGTGCTGCATATGCAACACGTTGACTCCATCAGCCCATGATTAATTACTATATATTTCCGGTTCACTGAATTTATCAGATTGCACTGCCTAGAATAATTCATGAAATGTAGTCGTCGGCTGTTCGTACACCGGCCTAATCTTTCTCCATCGTTCAAATTAAGACTACTGCATATGATAGTCTGCGTAATATGATAATCAGTGATTTCAATATTCTGAAGCATCCTTTCATCAAACATAGCTAGACTATTGCGTCAACATGTTTATACTCCGATAATTTAAAACGAAACATTTTTATGAACTTACACACTCATTAAACAGAAGATATATCTCGCACAGTTTCTTTTCATATTCATTGTCGGCTGATACATTTTCACAATAAATAAAACGACTATTAAAATCATTAATTAAAAATTAAATAATTAATTATTACGGAACTATTAATTATTGTTTTATTAGTATTGATAATTAATATATGTCAGTTATTATTTAATTAATGATTATATTTAATTAATTAAAGTTAATATAGTTAAATTATTAAAGTAATTAAATAATTAAAATAAAATAAAATGTAAGAAGATAAATTTAAATTTTATTAAACGACTTGTAATACAGTTTTATTGTAAAAATAAAATTTTCGAGATCAAGTTTTTACTGAAATTGTTGTTCAGTTACGTGAAAGAAGCGCCAGAGCCTTCTTATTTAGGGCTCCGGTGTAATTATAGCTCTGATTAAAAGTAACAGAAGCATTAGATAATTCCTCACAAGAATTATTTTTTACAACAATAAAACAAATAATTACGTTATTGGATATTACCTGACTTAAATATGGAATAAAAATAAGTAAAATGATATATCTATTTTAGCTAAGCATCTGAATGAGAATAAAACTCTTTTAACATCATAAACAATTATTTAAAACAAACAGATTTTAAAATTTAGTTGCAATTTAAGTCACAGTTTGTTGTACAGAGCCTGCATAAACATATAGATTTTATAAGATCTGGTTACTTTTTTTTTATTATTGCATAATGTCAACATCTCTTAATGGCAAAATATCCGGTTATCAAATTATGAATAAAAATAATTTATCTGGAATCAATAAGGATTTTCGCAAATAAAGGTACAGTTGGAAAAAAGTTGATTTATATGATATTCCAAAGAAAAGGCTTTAAATATAACTAGATTCATAATTTAAAAATTTTATAGGCATTAGCGCACTAAGCATCTTGTTGCGCAATGACTCACAGATCGTTCAGTTTGGCTTCTAAATAATATCAGCTATTTTTTGAACCACTTCAATTTTTCACAAATTATTTTGAACTTCAAAAAGATTTTGCAAGCATTTTAAAAATTTTTACAGACTATTTTGAAGTAGTCTAGATATTTCATTTGTTGTTCTGGAAATTTAGAAATTATTAATTCTTGAGTTTGAAATGTTAATTTTTTAATTTTAAAATTCTTTTTCTTTCTTTCTTTATTTTTAACAGTAATAGCACATTCATAAAGCCTGCAATATCTGAGCCCACGCTTTTATAACCTACTGTATCTACGCTCGTGTTTAGAACAGTTACGTAATGAGTCTTATTACTTCTCAGCATCTATGGAATTAAGTTCTTAAAAACCGCTGGAAAATATCTGGGATAAATTCAAACACTTTACTAAGAATCTAATTTTAGAAAAAGTGGGCATAACAATAGCGCAGTAATTTTTAGAGCGATTATATAAGAAATTATACCCCGCAAAGCAGACAAAAAAAATAAACGAACAAATAAATAAAATTTAAAAAAAAATATTTTCTTCACTGCGACTTTTACTTAAGTGCTTTTCATAACAAAACTATAAAGTAACTTAACACTGTCGTTAGAGCAATTTTCCCTAATTTATCGCTTTTTCCCTAAGCTGTAGGGATAAACTTCGCCTGGAAGGAGGAAAAAAAAAGAACACGTGATGTATGGCTTGACATGTAAAAAGAAGCAAACATAATAAACAGTTAAAAATGTTCCTAAAAGTGTCCCAATTGCGAACACCGCCTGTTCCCCCCCCAACCGTTCTTACGCGTTTATTTTTCTACTGCATGATAAAGGGTTAATAGTTTTTAAGGGTGCCAATATCGTTAAGGGTGGTATTAAATATACATTTCCTGTGTCTATCAATTTTGAATTACTTTTAAAGCTTTGAGGAATTGAGGAGAGGAGAAAAAAAAGAAAACGAGTCTAAATTACTTCGCTAAAAATTGCTATACGAAAGCGAGAAGTTCGAAGGGAGGGGTTTAGGATGCGGAGGAAATGCTAGCCTCATCACGTGATCTGTCCAAACGATAGTACAGCCGCGATATCAGTCGCAGTTAAGGACCGCGTTGCATTTAAAATTGTCGACTCGATTATAGCGTTCATACCTTGGAAAAACACTCAAAACTCGCAAAAGTTACAAGCTGATTACACCTCCCAGAACGACCCATGAGAGGAAGGATGAGGGGAGGTAATTAAGAACACCTTCCCATTGACTCGAACCCCAAACCTTTTGTTTTCCGAGCGAATATTACGAGCGAAGTCGCTAACGGCTGCAGTTTTTTAAACGATGCTTCGGCGTTTTGTTTTAAAAACTGCTTTTTTTAAAAAGGCTAAAAGCGCTGTCTTCCATCCAGAGAACGACCATAAAATAAACTGCTAAGGTCGTTAATTTTTTGTTTGTTTTATTGCTATCACAATATTAATTTCTTATTATCGATGTATATTAATTTTATAGCGGCCGTGTTTTAATTGAGCGCGAGATAACTTAATGATGGGCTTGGTTTCTTCTTATACGGAGCTGCTTGGTGTGCGATTTCTCTCAGAAAATAAATAAATTTACTTTCTCACAGCTACAGCTACAGTGAGCAGGTAATTTAAAACTAAAACTGATAATTCTTTTCAAAAATATCTCAAACTTAACTAATATCTTCAAAACGTTTTCTGAAATTAGAATTTTATATTTTATTACAGTTTTGCTACTTTATGAGAATGCTAGAAAAAATTAGCATGAAATAATATGAAATAAATAAAAGTTCCAAAACTGCATTATATATTTTTTATCAAGATAAATTACATTAAAGCTAGTTGCAGATAATAAAGGGTGTCTGCATGGAGAACTGAGAGAAGGAAAAAGCTGGCCGGTATTTGCAGAATACACGAGAAAATCCAAGGACGTTTGAGGTAAAAAACAGTTTCTAACCTCCAGCTACAGAAATCTTACGTTTTCGCTAAACTCGTAGTCTACCAGTCTGTTGTTACACTCGCTCATTCCTAATCCACTTTTTCTTTTCTTTTTTTTTTTTTTTCTTTTCT